TTCAGAGCTGTGACCTCGGCTGCCCTCCCAACAGACATGCTTCTAAATCCCTTACCCCACGCCCTGTCTGTAGAAACCCAGCCAGAAAGAGGAGCTCCTCCTGCCTTGTCATAGCCTGCCTCCCACCCCATCCAGGGGGCTTTGGGCCAACTGGGTTTGCCAGAGTAGGGAGATCGAGAGCTGAGTTTCTTCCTTTCCATCCTCCAGCGCCTGAGGACAGATGGAGCTGTGCCCTCCCAGCCCCTCCCTGCCGCTTCTCCCTGGCCTGGGCTCCAGCTTCTTAGTGAATTCCCTGGGACCCCATGGCCAGCGCTTCGGAAGGCATGAGTCAGCACACTCAGCATTGTCGGCTGCCATAGCCAGGCCAGGTGAAGCCCCTGGTAGGTGGCACGAGGGAGCTGCACAAGTAGCCAGGGAGCCAGGTGAGAGCAGAGGCGCCTCTGGGAGCCTGGCACTTCCATCATCAGAGCCTTGGGGACCTCGGTCCATAGGCCCTGTGCTGCTGCCAGGATTTTGAGCAGGGCTGGTGCCTGACAAGGGAGCCTGGCTGTGGCACCGGCCATCCAAGGAGTTGGTGCAAACCATGTCCTGTGTGCCCAGCACGGGGCTCAGTTGATGCCACAGGCCAGAGTGTTACCATGGGGAGGCCTCCTCTAGGATGCACTGAGATGCTGGGCATGGCCACTGGACATGCTGCTTGTGGTTGTATGGTTCCTTCCTCATTGGAAGTCACCCTGGCCAAGTTCAACGGTGGAGAACAGGGAGACCTTGGTTTCCTATGTCAGCTGACAGCTGCCGGGGCTCAGCATTTGCTGTAACCATACCACACAGTTTAAGAATATCAGCCTAGCTGGGCATGGTGGCACACACCTGTAATTACCCCACCACTTGGGAGGCTAAGGTAGAAGGATCACCTGAACTACATAGTGAGACCCTGTCTGCAAAAAAAAAAGAATGTCAGCCCTAGACCCAGACTACCTTCCTTTGGATCCCAGCCTTGGCACTGTGTAGCCCTTGAACAGTTACCAAACCTCCCGGCTTCTGTCTAACCATCTGTAAGTCAGATGTGCTAAGTGTGCTGCTGCTGCATTTGCTCGACTGGACTTTGCAAGTACTTTCGCCAGTTCTTGCCCTTTGCCCCTAACACAAGTGATTGTTCTCTGTCATCAGTGGATGCTCCAGCCAAGGTGAGCACTATTTCATGGTGGAGCCTTGGCCAACCCCTTTTCCCACTCTGGGCCCCATCGGGAGGTAGAGAAGGGATAGGGAATCCTTAAAGGATCCACGCACTCCAATCTCTCTCCTGAGCCTGCCCTCGGCCATCAGGGTCTGACAAACATGCTCTTTCTCCGAGAAGGTGCTTCATGGGGGGACAGTCCACACTGGGGTGGTTAATTGACTGTGTGCCAATTTGAGAGGGGAACGCCCAGCTGAACTGAGTCAGCATGGTTCTGGGTGTGGAAGACCCACTGTCGGAACAGTATAAAAGGAGAACCAGCAGGATGATTTCAGCTGATCTTCCTTGGGAGGAACTTCATTATGACTGCTTTTCTTTGGAGAAGTTTCGGCTGTTTATCTTTTTCTTTCTTTTTTTTTTTTTTTTTTTTGGTACCGGGGATCGAACTCGGGACCTTCTGCTTGCGAGGCAGGCACCAGAACCACTGAGCTAAATTCCCGGCCCCTCAGCTGTTTTTCTTCAAAAGCACTTCAGCTGTTTTCTTTCTTTGGGGGAGCTTCAATCCTCATCTTCATCTTGGACATCATTTTCTGGCTTCCAGTGCAGACCCCTCAGCCTTCTGGCGCAGATCCTGCAGCCTTTTGCCACAGACCCCTCAGCTTCTGGCACTGGCCCTTGGGCCTGTCCGCCGCAGCTCCTTCAGCCTCCTGATAACAGACTTGCTCAGGACATGGCCATGGCATCCAGGCCCTCGACTGGATCCTTCGGGTCTCCAGCGAGCAGGCAGACATGTTACACTCTTCTACATCTGACTCTAGTAAGCACTGACTAATACACAGGCCTGCCCTGAAGGATGAAGTCAGAGTGCCGGCAGGGCTTCACTGCCCGCAGGGCGGGTGGCGGTGAAATGCTGTGACGTGAGGATGAGGAAGTCATCCAGCGGCTCCAGCCAGGGATGGCCAGGCAGGAAGGTGGATGGGCCTGAGCCCAGCAGGCCCTGGAAGGTGCCCTTGGGGTGCCTGGGGAGCAGGTGCAGGGCAGGGTCCCGTCATCTCCCCGCTCCTATGTTAGTGGAGCTGGGGTCTCTGTCTCCCAGCCCCTGGATGGCGGGGCAGCTTGCCTGAGCCTGTCTTCTCCTGCAGCTCAAGTGTGACCTGTACCCCGGCAGCTCCCATGGCCAGGTCCCCAGCCTTGCAGCCTCCTTCAGAGCCCTGACCTCCTGCAGCAGTGGCAGCATTTTGAGCTGGCTGAGGCTTGGCTGAGCTTTGCGTCACACGGGCCGTCTGACCCCAGTACCCGGCCTGAAGAACTTGACCTTTGACAGACAGGTAAGGGGTGCTTTTCCTGAGTTGCCCTTCAGATCCCTCTGTGTGCCTCTGACCAATTTGTTTAATGACTGCATTGCTGTCTCAGCATCCACTTTTGGCCTGACCTTGGCTGTCTGGAACCCGGTTGAAACTTGGCACTGTGCCCTAGGTGGGACTTGCCCCACCCCGGCGGTTTGCAGTATAGCCCGCTAGCTCCTCATCTCCAAGGCCCAGAACATCTACGGCAGCCACCCGGCCAGGAGTAAGATCAGGGACCTTCCTCGTTACTATCACACTTGGCACTCATTCTGCCTGAGCCGCATTGTTCATTAAGTCCCACTTCACAGAGCAGGACACTGAGGCCCAGGAGGACAACGATCACTTGCTAAATGTCTGCTCCAGAGCCCGGACATGGACCAGCTCTCTTAGGTCCTTTTGCTGTAAGAAACCCCTAGATCATTGCAGAGTGAATAACCGCTATAGGCCCAGCCCTGCAGAAAAAAAAGGAAACCTTGCCTACCCTTGTGGGCTGGCCCGTGCTTGGGCTATGGTGCACAGCTAGGCTGGCCTTGTCCCCTTCAGGGCCCTGGTGGACCAGGACAGCCAGTGCAGACATCCTGGGACTGCACCCCGAAAGTCACGTCCCTGCTGCAGCCTCTGTCTCCCCTGAGGGGAGGGATGAGTGGCGATGTCAGCTTCCTCTCCTGTTGGATGGAGGGAGACCCGACTCTTCAGAGGAGCACGGACTCTTCAGAGGAGCACGGACTCAGCTTTGCTGTTACACAGGTTCAGGCAGCTGGGCACCCTGATTTCCTGTGAGCAGCTTCAGGTGGCTTGAGCAGGAGGAGAAAATGTTCCTTCTGTGGCCTCCGGAGGCTGAGGCAGGAGAGGTGAGGTCTGAGGTGGACTGGGGTTGGGGAAGGGAGAGAGCAATGGAAGGGACAGGATATGGGACCAGTGGCTGAGGGAGTGGAGGGAACAGAGGAGACAATGCACTGTGTCCCTCTTAACTTCAGCACCAGTAGTGAGAGCAAGTGACACGCATCCGGACCTTTCTGGCCCAGCCTGACACCGGGCTGGGGCAAGCTGTGTGTGGCATGGTGTCATTGATGTCACAGCACAGGGGATGTCAGCTGGTTTGGAGCATGAATTTGAGCCGGGTGTGGCGGTGCACACCTGTAATCCCAGCACTCTGGAAGGCTGAGACAGGAGGGTTGCAAGTTCGAGCCCACCCTGGGCAATTTAATAACTTAGCTAGAACCTGTCTCAAAATTTTTAAAAAGGCTGGAGATGTAGCTCAGTGCAAAGTTCTTAAGTTCGATACTCAGTACCACAAAAACAAAAAAACCTAGATTTGGAAAGCATTATCTGAGGGGCGTCTGGGATTCCCCTACCATGATTCTCCACACTCCTTTTGTTGCAGAAGGAGTTACATGAACCCTGGGTAGTCCTGGCCGAGCTGGTGGAGAGGCCCCCTGGAAGAGGGAACTCCTTTTGCAAAGCATAATCCCCTAGGTAACAGCAGACCCTCAGTGGAGAACTGTTTCCCAGTGTCAGGTGATCTAAGGCTTCAAAAGGAGGCCAGAATCACCCCCCACCCCCACCCCCAGGAAGCTCTCGGGAAGTAAATGTGCGCACTGGGAGTGACACCAACTCCCTCACCCTGTGGTCCCCATCCGGCACCAGTGTGTGCTCAGCCCTATGTGGTAGAAGACACAGAGTCTGGGAGAGGGAGAACTCAGCTCCAGAGCAACTGCTCCGTGGAGGCAGCCACCTTCCCTATACCCTGCCAGGCGTTAGAGGACTCTCCAGACTGAGGCCCATGTCATGTTCTGCTCTCCAGGCTGCTGAAGCTGAAAGTGAGCCTGACAGCCTTCCGCTGCCCGGCTGAGGCCTAGAGCCACAAATCTGAGCCCTCATCTACTGTACAGCCCCTGGATCCCCATTCTTAAACTACTCTGGGCCTTTTCCTAGCTGGCTGTGCATGACAGTGAATTAGCTCATGCCCTCGGGGAAGCTCCTGCCCTCCAGCTCCTTCACCTCTGGCAGCTTCTTTATTCACTACCCAAGATGGTGGGCCCCAAGCCAGGCATGGTGGCACACGCCGGCACTCCCAGCACCCTGGGAGGCTGAGACAGGAGGATGGCAAAATCAGTCTCCGCTTAGACAACTTGGTGAGTTAGTGAGATCCTGTCTCAAATAAACAAAAGGAGGGAGGGCTGAATATGTAGCTCAGTGCAAAGGCCCGGAGTTCAGTTCCTAGTACCAGCAAGAACACCACGGGCAATTCTTCCCATAGTGCTGCCCCATTCTGCGTCCACCCCTTTACTGCACTTAAACCCAGCCCTCTCTGACCCTTGTCCCAGCCCACAGAAGTCCTTGGGGCAACCCCAGTCTGGCTGCACCCCCAGTCTGGTAGTTTATTCGCACCTATGTGACCTGTCACTCGGCAGGCAGGATTTCAGGCATAGGGAGGTGTGAGTGTGTTTGAATCACCTTTGTGACACAACACCCACGCGCAAGCACATCTGCCAGGCACAGGGCCAGGGACTTAGGAGTTTGGTCTCACTGGGACACTTGGGCCTGACAGCTACCCTTACCTCTCGTGTGGCACAAACCCTGTCAGTCACACACACACACACACACACACACACACACGCACACAGAGTGGTCCACACTCTCAGACCCTCGCTCTTCACACCCATACCCGTACAGCCAAACAGGCACAGGGAGCGCCAGACTTGGCTCAAGATTCCTCCCCATCACAGGCACCCGATGTCATCTTTCTGAAGGAGACTCCAAGCTGCCCCCACCTCTGCGCTCCTTCCCTGATCACGGATGCTGTCAGCTCTCCCTCACCTGGCACTCATCTGTCTCCCCCCCAGTCCACATGGAGGGGACCCCTCGATGTCCGTCCCTCCCTTCCCACCACCCCACCCACCGTCATTTCCAGGCAGCAGTTGCTAGGGACCCTTGTGCCAACCCCGGGCACCCACTGGCTGCCTCTGCAGAAGTGGATTTAAGGACACTGGTGGGGAGAGACCCCGCCAAGGCCACCATCCACACTTCAACCTCTGCTGCTCCCCCAAACCCAGGGTCAGCGCCTGCCCCTCCACGGCCCCTCCCCACTTCAGCAACTGTGGCTCTCATTGGTACAACATCAGCCTTGTTTGGTTGCCTGGTTGGCTTGGCATTTTAGTAAGGCTTGGCTTGTGGGCGAGGTGGGGACAGCCTGCACTTTTATTTTTCTTCTGATAAGTCGCATTTCTTCCAGCTCTTGAGAATGTACTTGAGGAGAAGGCCAACCTTCCGGCGGGTCGTGAGTAGGGCTTCCTCGCTGCCTCCCTCCCCAGATCCCCGCTTTTCCATGCCACTGTCAGCAGCCGCCTCCAGGCTGATGTCCCGCTGGAGCTCGTCCTCCTCCAGGGCCTTGATACGGACCCGATGGGCATCCTCAGCCAACTCATTGAGGCAGCCCTGGAGCATGGTGTAGACGGTGCCGAAGCTGATGCCACCAGCCACCAGTGTGCCGAACGTAGGGATGCCCCTCTCAAAGGCACGGGCCACCTTCATGGCGCCATCGGCCGACGGTGAGTAGAGCCGCAGGACGGTCTCCGGCGAGACCTCGTTGGCTAGCAGGGAGCGGGTGACGGAGAGCAGGTCGCCCGGCTGCTTGCCCACCTGTTCGGCCAGCTTGGCCAGCGAGTCGTCATCCAGGCCGAAGCTGCGGTGGTAGGCGCGCAGTGAGCGGATGAGCAGGGCATCGTCGTAGGCGGCTGCCAGCCCTGGCACAGGCAGGGCCTGGATGATGCCCGACACCAGGGCCGTCCTGAGCACTTGCTCCCGGAGCATGGCCTTCTTCTGCTGTAGGGCCTCCAGCGAGATATCGGGCAGCGACAGCTGGCCAGCGTGGCACCGGTGGGCAGGCAGGTCATGCTCCCAGGTGGACACGAGCATTGGGAAGTCATCGCAGGATGGCTAGAGGTTGGACACGAGGAAGAGGCGGGGGTCGGGCACGCCGACTGCCCGAAGCCGCTCCGCACAGTGGTCTCAGATCTCCTGGAGGACAGTGGCCTTGCTGAAGCCCGAGGGCCGCTGGCTGCATGTGGCCACCAGTTCCTCGTCCACCTTGGTGCGCACGAAGTAGAACTTCTTGCCCTGGCGCAGGATCTCAGAGGCCAGGCGGGTCTCCACGGCCCCGCAGCAGCGGGGCGACACCAGCAGGAAGAAGTCGTAGCAGCTAAAGTCCACCTGCTTCAGGTACTTGTTGGCTGGGCAGCCCGGAGAGCCAGCCCCTGGGAGGTCCCACAGCATCACATCGGAAAGCTGCGGGTGTGGGTAGGGAGAGGGCTGCATCATGGTCTCCACGACACCCGTGAGGGCCGCGCCAGGGTCCTCGGCCCCCAGGCCACGCAGGGCATTGATGAGGGACGACTTGCCGGCCCCCAACTCGCCTATGACGCCCACCTCCAGCCGGATGTTGTCCAAGGAGGCCAGCAGCTCTCGAAGGCGAGAGGTGGCTTGGGGAATGTCGCCAGACTCGAAGGCTGTGCGCAAGGCCTCCAGCTCTTCCTTGTTCATAAGGATGGTGCTCTCCTCCCCAGGCACGGCCGGCAACTTGAGAGTAGCCATGGTGACCCGTGGTTGAGAGAGCAGCAGGGGACAAGGGAGTCACAGGATGTGATCCTCAACGTCTTTGGAGGAGAAGAGAGCTGGTCACACACCTCGTGGGCCTTGGGGTGGGCAGAAAGAGGGGTATCAAGGATGTGAGGCAGCCCCTCTGCAACCCACAGCCCTCTCCTCCTCAGGAACCCGGCATACACTGGGCACACACATTAGGTAGCTTTGGAGTCTCAAAGGCCTGAGGTACACATCTCATCTGTACTGCTAACTTGCTGTGTGATCTAGGACAGAATGAATGCCTCTCTGTGCTTGCTTGCTTCTCTGGGTAGCGGGCATGATGCCTGAGCAGCATCCTGGGGTGCTGTCAGGGTCTGGGGAGTAACCGAGGAACAGGGCCAGCTTTATGAGTGTGTGTGTCACGTTGGGCCCAGTGCCTGGCTTACTACGCTGCTGACACCAGCTGAGACTCTATGATTTTTGGACCAGGGCCTCCACAGTCTCATGTTGGTCTGGGGTTTGCACACCACGAGCCCAGGGCTCCACAGGAAGGGCTGCAGCCCTGCTCCCAGACTGTGGCTTGGCCCAGCCAGAGGTCAGCCTGGCTTCTGCTCCCCTGTCAGGAAGGGGACCCAGGCCCAGAGCACACCCTGTCTCTGCCCCACGCTTCCTGAGAGATGGGGCGAGTGACTTTGTCTCTGCCTCCCTGGCCTCACCTGTAAGAAGTAGATAATAACTCTGACAGGAGCAAACTAACTCTCTCCTGGCATTACCGAGAACTGCATGAGTTCAGACATTCAAAGCGCTTACAACGCCCTGCCCAGAGCAGGTGCTCTGGTACTTGCAGCAGCAGGAGCAGCAGCAGCAACATCGAGCTCACTATTAGTATTCCTAGGTGCCGGGTGTGGTGGCACATGCCTGTAATCCTAGCACCCTTGGAGGCTGAGGCAGGAGGATCACAAGTTCAAGTGCAGCCTGGGGAATTTAGGGAGACCCTCATCTCAAAATAAGAAAAAAAAAAAGGGTCGGGCATGTGGCTCAGTGCCAAGGCCTTGGATTTAATCCCCAGTACAAAAAAGAAAGCATTAATATTCTTTTTTTTGGTACCAGGGATCGAATTTGGGTCCTTGTGCTTGCGCAACAGGCAGTGAAACCACTGAGCTAAATCCCCGGCCCAGCATTAATAGTCTTAACTGTGTGACTCTGAGCAAGTCCTTGCCTCAGCTGCCTCAGCTAGGAGAGAATCCTGCCCTACCGAAGAGGCTGTCATGGATCCTGGGTCTTTAACCTTGGGCCAACTTTGAACATAGTCTTGGTTCTGCCTGTGGAAGAAGCTGGGCCTTGGGAATTGCCCTCATTCAACCCCAGCCCTACCGTGGCCAACATAGCTGGGCCTTTGCCTCCTGGGCCTCAGTTTACCCTCGCACCTCCTGGGGCCTTTGTGAAGGTCTCTCCCCAGACCCCTTCCTCCTCACTCTGGCCTATCACCTCCAAACACATCCTCAGAATCCTGGGAGGCGCTCCTGTGGAGGATCCTGTCCCCACCTGACAGGGAGAGGGGCCGAGGCCCAGAGGAGACGGTGTCATCGCCCCCTCAGAGGAACGCGCAGGACTCAAGCCCAGGCCCTTGGGTGCCTTGCCTCCACAGGCTTTGCCTCCCTGCCCCCACCCCATCCTCCACTGCCCTCCCTCCCTCACCACCCAACCGCACAAATTTGTCCTCATTCCTTTGGTCCTTCCAGACCTGATCCTCCTACCCCCTTGAGCCCCACCCTCCCCTAAGCCACCTCAGGACAGGGTCTTGGGGAGGGCAGGGTGGGAGCCCAGGGGCCCAGACAAGATGGTGGCCGGGGGGCTGGAGTTAGTGCTGAGGGGGTCAGGACTGGCACCTCCAGAAGCCCCTGCCTCTGCACACCCCCTGTGGGGGCACAGCAGAGAGCCCTGCACTTGGAGACTCACCTGCCCTGCAGTCTCCCCCTCCCCACACTCTCCCCTGGCGCGAGTCCTCTCTGTTAGCCTCCAGCAGCCCCTGTTGCTAGGCCCCATTATAGCAGCAGGCAGCGACCTATTGGTCAGCCAGGCCTGGTTCAATAATGTCACCATGATGTCAGAGGCGGGGGGGGGCAGGAACCCACCCCCAGTGGCTGGGGAGGTCACCGCCTGGTCACACTGGGCCCTCGGTCCCCCGGTAAGCCCAGGAGGGATCTTTCCAACTTGTTCCAAAACCTCTGTGGCCTCCAGGACTCAGGCCCCCTGCACAGTCTGGCATCCGAGGCCTGACCCTGCTGACCACTTCACCCCCACCCAGGGCATCAGATCCTGACGCATCGAGGAACAGGACCTTCACTCCCTTGGTTCTCTGTTCTTTGTGCTCTTGATAAAACAATTCCATCAAGACACACAGGCCACCAGAAGAATAGGTAGAATAAGGGGCCTGGGATTTAGCTCAGTGGTTCCGCCACCTGCCTTGCGTAAGGACCCAAGTTCGATCCCTGGTACCCAAAAAACCCAAAAAAGAATAGGTAGAATTTATCATAAAGTAGCCGCCCTTCAAGCAAGAAGGTGGCTTGGGCCACAAAGGCATCTGCACCGAAAGCGAGTTACTCTTGGAGGTTAGGGAACTGGGGTAATTATGATGCTTATCAACATTTTACTTAGAAGTTACTTAGGAGTTCCAAAATGTCTTCCTGTCCTTTTCACATGGCCCTGGTTTCCTTAGGGGCTTGAGTCATGTAAGAAACTTAAAAAAGATAAATTCTTAATTTAAAGCAGGTCTCAGGCTGAGCAGTGGCGCATACCTGTAATCCCAGCACACGGGAGGCTGAGGCAAGAGGATCACTGTGAGTTTGAGGCCAACCTGGGCAGCATAGTGAGTTCAAGGTTCAAGGCTAGTCTGAACTGTGTAGCGAGACTTTGTATAAAAAATAAACAAACAGGTCAGGGATTTAGCTCAGTGGTTTCGCTGCCTGCTGCGCAAGCACAGGGACCCGAGTTCAATCGCTGGTACCAAAAAAAAAACCAAACCAGGTCTCAGCCCAAGGCAGGAGGGTCTTTAAAGAACATTTGCCTTCCTGATATCACTGGGCTGTGGGCTACAGCAGCCCAGCCCGGAACACTGTGTGCTCTGGAGTTAGATGGCCAGTTGGCTGGGCAGCAGAAGGAAGCGCACCAAGCGCCACCTTACAATGTCACTGTTCTGTGGGATCGCTTTGGGTCTGAGACCTAAGGAAAGATTACAAATGTGATACACAGTGAAGTCTTTGTTTCCTTACATGGCGGCACGTGCTGTTCTGGACCCCCTCTTTGTCCATCAGGTGCACTGAGATCAACCTGCCTGAAAGAAGATTCCATTTCCTGGTCACTCATTGGCCCTTCTATGTGGACGTCACACACACCCTGGCGTCGCGGTTTAGCTTGGCCGGGGATGGCTGGGATCCAAGGAAGAGGGCTTGGTGTAAAACTACCCTCAAGGTCCCCACCAGTGCCACCCTGACTGGCCCTAGCCAGGACTCGAGGACCATGGTGACTCAGGGTAGCAGCTACACCGGACAGAGGGCCCAGCCTCCCTCCACCTCCTGCACAACTTGTCTTCTTCTGCCCACCCCAGCCTGTGTTCCTCAGTCCCCACAGGTGGGACCCCGTACAGCACCTCTCTCCACCCTGCAACCCTCCTCTGTGTTATGACCTTTAAAGTAGCATCGGGGTGACAAAGAGGGAGACCCACGTTGAGCCGCACAGGCTCCCAGACTGAGAAGCACAGGTTTCACGGTGCCCTGGAACCCACGTATCCACTCCTGAAGCGTGTTAGTCCAGGCTCCAGCTCTGAGCCCCAGAGGTGCAGCAAACCCAGGCACTGCCCTGGGGACTCCGGGCCAGGGGCCCAGACAGAGTGCAGGGTGCCTGCGCGTTCGCATCCATGGCTTCGGAGAGGCCACACCCCGCCTCCTGCCAAGCCCCCTCTTTCCCCTCCACCCATCAAACAGTGCACAGCTCTCAGGCCCCATCCTGGGCCGGGTGCCTGGAACACAGCAAAGACCAAGACAGCACCCAGCTCTGTCCCGGGGCTTCAGCATTCAGCGGGGTTGTGGGAGCCATCGCTAGATAATGCAGCAGACTGGGCTGGGGGCCCCTGCAGGGGCCTGGGAACACAGAGTGGGTGCCTGAGCCAGCTTGGGCATCCAGGAGGAGGAGGCACCAGAACTGAGGTCTGAAGGGTGGGTAGGAGTGAGCTAGGGGGTCACATCCAGGCTGAAGAACCCGGCCACCCAGAGACCCCTCGCAGAGAGAGGACATCCACTTGTCCGACAGTCCACTCAGTTATTTGGGCATTCTGTTCTAGACAGCTAAGTTAGGTCGGATATTCTAGGTGGTCACAGGACTAGGCCCTTGAGGGAGTCAGGGCAAAGATGAAAACACAGTACAAGTGTGGCATCCCTTGGAGGCCAGGCCTCAGGATAAAGACTGAATGGCGAGACCTGAGAGAAGTGGTAGCACCTGGTCTAATAAAGCCCAGCGGGACATCAGTCACCTTGATGGGTGACCAAGACGCCCGGACTCATCCCTTCCCCGAGAAGGCCCTTGTTCTTTCCATGCGCACTTGCTACGTGCCCTGCTTCCCCGTTGGGTCACTATTACCTAAGTGGTCACTATTACCTATCACCTTACTGGCTGATCATAGCCGTAACCCATGCTGTACCCACATGGCTGTGCTCTATAAAGCTTCCTCTGAGAAGAAGGGTCGTCGGCAACCCACTTTCAGGCCTCCTCCTGCCTCTCGGGAGCTGTATCTTTCCCCCTCAATAAATATTTCCTACTCTTAACCTCCATTGTTCCTAGATTCATTCTTTGATTTTAGAGAAAATGAACTCGGTTTATTGGACATCTAACAGGTTGGGAGTTAGAACATCGCCCTTATATCATTTTGGAAGTCCTGATATCAATTCCACAAACGTGTTCACTCTTGACCCGTGGCCAGAGTCTGTACTGGTTCAAGATGTGACTCATGCATTTCCTTCGAGAAAACTCAAGCAACCGAGACAATCACA